TTCTGCTTGGTAACCTGCCATGTTGAGATTTGTGTACACAAAGAAAGGAGGTCTTGTTTTTTTTTTTTGACGTTATGACCCGTGGTACTTGTAGATCTGGAAGAAACTAAAAGTTTTAACTAAGAAATCCCCACAGACGACGCCAAATTATTTGATCAAAAAATATGTATCTTAGTTCAAATAATTAAATTTATGTAATAAGAGGTTAAACTTAGTCAACAATAATATTTCTAGATAAAACTTTCAAGGATGCAATAATCAATGGGTGGGCTCAGTTAGATACTAATGACAACATGCAATAACTATTCTAAAAGGCAAGAGCAATAATGTAGCATTCAATAGCAATGAATATCAATAAATGACATTTATGTAAAGGTGGGATGATTTACCCAATAAAGGATGAAATAGATGGATGTTTCTCCTGACAATGATGAATGACCGATAAATCCTTGAATATTCGGGTTATCTCGAATCTGATGGAAAATTATGGAATAGTATAAACAAGAATCTTAGTGAAAATGAGGTGTTTGTATCTTAGCAAGAGAAAGGAAATCATTGAGTTCTTACAAGTGAATATTAACCTCCCTCCCNTGGAAAAACCGAATTTTCGACGAACTTTTTACCTTCTCTTCTGTGGTAATCAATGAAATTGTATGTTCGTGATCTCAGATATGAAAGATTAAATGTGAAAAATGATTAATAACTATTTTATAAGGGGAAACCGAGACTAATTTATTTTTTTGGAGTATTTACAATAGACTATTCTTTCTGATAGCGTGTCTGTTTATTTGAAGGACGATTGGAGTAAAATGCAGTATTTGTCTAGATATCCTAGATCAGTAAAAAATGTTATCCTTCTTATCGTATGTACTTTTATGTCATGTTTCAATACAATCATGAAATAATACACCAAAGAAGTCAGAGATAGCGGGGAGGAAATTCTCGTCTGGTAGAGATTCTTTTGTTGAAGAATCACAATGGAGTCAATTATTCTGTGAACAGAAAATATATGGAAAATGCTACTCCCTTAAGTGGAATTTTTCTACAAGCATTCCCGTACCATGGTCCAGAATAACAAATTGAATTTATACGTGCAAAAGAAGTCACTTGTGTTTAATCTAAAATTAGTTTTATAGGCCAAATCGATTAAATTTATATTTTCAGAGCAATCGATTGTACTAAATTTTTCAAATATCAAAAATAATAATAATAGCAGTAAATAAGAAAATCAAATATATGGTTAAAGGAAAGAGAATTCTTATTAATCAAGATGTCTCCTTTTTCAGATCACGTCCTGATTGGTTCAACCAAAATACAGTGATATAGATAGAAAGAGAGTTATAGAGTGGTTTTTCATATGAGATGTGTGGGAAAGTGGGGATTTAAATAGTGAAATACATGTGATCATTCTCCTAATATCTTGCCTACCCGTTACCCCCATTAATATGCGTCTTCGCATGTTACATTGAGAATATATAAGAGCTCAATGAGTTAGACCAAATCTCACTTTATTCTGGACTGACTCATTCCACTCTTTTCCATACTCATGTCTTCGCGGGAAGTCTTCCATGTTGACTTATGTATACGGTAAAAATCAAAGAGTCCGATTTTATGGTAATTATGACGCTTCATAAATACGTCTCCAAAGGCTTGAGGCAAGGGTCGAGGTTCAACCCCGAAGGATTTTCAACGTTCGACTTCGGGGCAGTGCAAATCGGTAGTTATGATGGAAAAACGGGAAGTTTCCAAGGCACGTGATTAAGGCTGATCCAATCTATTAGGCTAGCATGAGCCCGTACTGTGACATTAAATGGTTGTACTACCCATACATCTTTGTAATAAATGCATTTGTACTATGTTGGAATTCCCCCTCATATATATAAAGGGAATCCTTGTCATTTTGTAAAGACACACAACATTCAATACAAGAACATTCTCTACTCTCTAACTTAAACACATTCTCCTTTGATTCTATTGCTTACATTTACTGCTTACATTTATTGTGTTTCATTAACTGTTCTTCATTTATTACTCATTATTGATCATAAAGAGCTCTTATCAAAGCTCTTAGAATTGTTAGACCTTCATCAGTCGGTCACTGCCTAACGCTTAGCTCGACCTCGAGGCCCCGTATAGGCCAGTTCGAGGCCCCGAATCCCAGCCACTCGATTTGCTTGACACGTTGCCTTCAAGCTCTTATCATATTTTCTAGTCAAACACTTAGCATCTATTGCCTAACAACTAGCATAAAAATAAATCACGTATTTTTAAAACCACAAAATCAAATCTAATTGTAATTACCATTTTCAAAGTAAATAACTCATAACTAATTATGGTACGAATAGTGCCCATATCAAATAACTCAACCGGATTGATCTTGGACTCATCCTATTCACGATTTTTTAATATTCTTGACACATACCGAGATTTGATTAATCCACATGGTGAGCTTATTTTTTACCAATACAACTTTCTCCATAATCACTCACGATATTCTAAAGTTGATGTTGACTTAATAAATTATGTACTAATAAAAATCCGTTAAAATATTATTTCCAAAAGTTACTTTAATTTGATTTAGCTTTAACTGAAAATTTACTTACCTAAATAAGTCAAACCATAGTACAGGGGAGTACGTTAACATTTTTTTTGGAACAGGGTTTAAAATGTCCCTAAATTATTGGAAAAGGTTTAAAAATACCCTTTATCTACCTATTGGGCTAAAAATACCCCTTCATCCACCTTTTTGGTTCACTTATGCCCTTTAACCATTAGGTCAATGCTGAATTAAAAATAATTATTATTCTTTTTGTAAAATTTTAAAATATATCTTATTTTTTTTCATTTTTTTAGAAAAACAAAAATAATTTTTTAAAAAAAGAAACTGAAAAACGAAAATAAAATGAAATTCTTTAAAAACTGAAAAAAATGGAAATTGTTTTTCAATAAAAAAAACGAAAATATTTTTTCTGTTTTTACAATTTTTTTCTGTTTTTACCAAAAAATGCTTTAAAAAAACTGAAAAAAATTGTTTTTTTATAAAAACTAAAAAAAGAAAAAAAGAAGACTTTACTAAATTAGTAGACTATTCGTGCATTAGTTTAAAAAAACGAAAATATTTTGCAAAATATTTTTTTTAAGTTTTACAAAAAGAATAATAATTATTTTTAATTTAGTATTGACCTAATGGTCAAAAGGCATAAGTGAACCAAAAAAATGGATGGATGGGTATTTTTAGCCCAATAGGTGGATGAAGTATATTTTTAAACCTTTTTCAATAGTTTAGGGACATTTTGAACCCTTTTCCGTTTCTTTTTTAATAATTATTGATATCTTTGAGAGATTCCAATAAGATTGTCTCACAAGGCTGGTTATTGTGGTCTTTACAAATTGAAGTGTGTTGCACACTTTAGTGCCAAAAGATTTGACAATTTTTAAATTTTTTAAATTAAAGCATTTATTAATTACCAAGTAACTGTAGAAAACCATGGGCAAACAACCAGTTTAAAACAGCCTTGTTTACAAAACAACCTATAAAGAAGAAACAAAATCAAACAGTTTTCTGTTCCTCCTAACCTTGATGCAGATAGTAGTCCTCAAATTATGCAGTATTGTCTGTCTGCAGGTAGCCCTGTTTTGATATACTCGAGTGTTGTGGCGAAGTCAGAAAATTTAAAAAGGATGTTCAAATTTTGAAATACTCTTTGTGAGTAGGTTATGCAAGAGTGTTTAAAGTCTATGATTAACAAGTAATATTTTATATTATACATAGTATAATTTTTCGGCGAAGGGTGGTCAGTTGACCATTCTTGGGCCAACATAGCTTCGTCCCTGCTCGAGTGTTCCTTTCAATCCATATATCATACTCCTTCCGTTTCAAATTAGATAAGGTACTTTCCTTTTTAGTCTGTTCCAAAATAAATGACACATTTCTTTATTTGGAAATAATTCAACTTTAAACTTTTTATTTTACTCACTTTACCCTTAATGAGAAGTTTTTATAACCACACAAATGTCATGACCCCTTAAGCTTTTAAGATCACAAGTTTCAAAAATTTTCTTTTTTTCCTTAAGCTTTGTGTCAAGTCAAACTACCTTATTTAAATTGACACTATGGAATAGACAAATAGCAGGAACAAAATAAGCCTTTACGCAACACTTAGGGTGGCACACCAAACTATTTTCCTATCTTGTGGTTCGAAAGTACCACATGGAAAAAGGGCCTGATTCATTGCTGTTGGTTTTCCCCTTATTTTTCACATATTTTGAAATAGGGACACCCAATAAAAGCATGTTTTGGGGTCAATTCGTGACAGGTACAACACAAATTTACAACTGCCAAGCAATCACCAAACACTTGGGCCCACAGAAGGGAAAGAAAATGTAAAACGTGCTACAATTTATAAAGCAATATCCAGGCAATGAATTACTTAAAAGATTTTGATATCAACCACCACCATAGATATAAAATTATATTATCTAAATTTAAAAGGACAGCCACTCAAAGACATGGTTGGATCATATGTTTAAGCTTTTAATGATTTTGACCCTTTTGCACGCGAAAGCTGTGTATTGACAACTAGTGAATAGTGACGATAAATCAATCTCTTCCTTATCTCCCACCAAAATATCCAATTTTAGCATGTATGGTCCAAAATAAATTTTTGACCTTCAAATAGAATATTTTATCGTTTCCACTAATTTAATATTCTTTCTCAATTTGAAAGGAAGCTTATTTGTTTAAGATAGACAACACATTTATAACTTGGTACACATAATATTCTCATAAAGCAAATTAAATTTGGCTTCAAATAAGGGGTTTCGTCTCACTTTGCGAAACGAATATAGTGCAATGGTTAATTTGTAGAGTTATAAATCAAATCTTGAAAAATAAAAGATCCAAACTTTGGTTTATAGTACCTAAAACCCCAAAAAATTTAGAACTACTCGAGTCAATCCTCATGGAGAAGCCTTGAAAAGTATTTCCCGAGCATGGTTGAGGCCCAGAGATTACTAAATAATATTAATATACACTTGGGAAACATAATGTAACAGAATAAATAGTTACAAAGTGCTGAAGTCATTTCGATGGGAGAATTCCATCAGGTTCAGATGAAAGAGAATTAAGTACAGCAAAAGACAAAACAAATTGGATACTAGGAAGTCTGGCTAAAGCTAACCAAGTTGATATTACAATTAAAACAGCAAAACTTGATAGCTACAGCTTTTAACTTGCTTAATAAAAATAGATTATGCTTCAATGGTTTATGGCAATAGGCTGCCTTCAGACGTCGTAGCTAGGTCTCCTTACCTGCTATCAGAGGACTAGTACCAACACTGGAAGTTGCAGAGAAACCAACTCCGTTAGACTCGGGGGTGGAGCACTCACCCGATTTCTTGCTGAGGCCATATGGTGCAGCGTTCATTACCCTGCAAACATGATTGGCACTTAAATCTCAAGACTTTCTTACATTGTGTTCGTGTTGTATTCATGAGTATCCAATTGATGGAGATGCAGTTATATGTGTCTCAAATCTTAGTCTAAAATAATACATCAGCAAATCCCAGATAGCTATAAGCTATAAGCCATATTTCAAACGGTCAACGACGATCAGAAAGAACAATTAGTTTTGCAGTAATTTATTATATTTTCGGTGGTCATCTCATCTACTATCCAAAAGATTGATCCTTTACACTAATGCATTCAATAATTTCTAAAAAGCTACGAGAGAGCTAGCCAAAGATAGCTATACAGCAAAGGAACACCTGAACTAATGATAGTTATACAGCACATGCACACCTAAATTAAAGCATAAAACAAAACAAGAACTCAAAACATGAAACATTTAACTTACCTTTCCTTCCGCTTCTCCAGAAACCGAGCCAGAGATGCTTTCCTAGCCTGTGGAACCGCTGCAGAAAATGTATATAATAAGAAGCAATGAGGTTGGGCTAAAGCAGTTGCATTGAAACTAAAAGATTTTCTCGAATAACTTAAGTGACTGCTAAGGAAATCAAGAAAGTAATTACTTCCACTTCGGAGCAACATAATTAGCTGTTGCAATAACTGGAATAGAAAGAAATGCTTAGGTTATTGAAGAGCATTAAGAGGAATCTTACAAGAGGTAGCCAAGAGGAAAAATTAAGCACATGGATTAAGGGGCATTATGGAGGACGGGATGGACTTCTAATGTAGTAAAGTCAACCCAATACAACTAGCAATATCTTGATACCAGAGTATGTTAGAAAGCATCAAAAAGGAAAGCTTTTACATCACGAAAAAGTTCTGAGTTTCCAATCCCGAATGTAAGATATACCTGCTGGCATTATGGTAGTCGCCCCAACAGGTCCTAGTGATGTCATAACCTTTGGAGTCTCCACTGAAATGTTTGCAGTTTTAAATATCTTCGTGTCATCTTTGTTTCCAGAATTGCCAGCAGATTGACCAATGGGATGAGAAGAAACAGACATAGGGCTGGAATGACCTGAGGCAGGTAGCATGTTTGGGATTTGGTTCACACAAGTGCCATCTACGGCAGCAAGTTTGGGTGTAGATGCCTGAACTTGAAACCTTGGTTGCCCCACATTAGGAGGAACACAACCATTTCCAGCCAAAAACATAATAGCCTGTGCCTGCGTAATATACCCAGGCAAATATAAACCTCAGAGAAACTTAGCTCATTGCGCATTCTTTCTGGTTAATGCTGCCCTTTATTTATATCAGTTTGTGTGCACGTGAGAGCAAGAAAGACGGTACCTTCTCAGGGGAGATATCATCAAAGACATTGACCGTCCCACCATAGAAGATGGTCAGTTGAGCAGGTGCTGCAGAACCTTTGGAATTAAACCTGCAAAAGATGTACAACATTTTAGACAAAAATTTCAATTTCTGTTTTAATTCACTGGGACTTTCCAAGCCAAGTTGTCTTAATTTTTTGTATGTCTTTCAATTAATAGCATCACGAGCAACTGCTTTACAGTCATCATTGGTATTAACTGCAGATTGATGTGCTCATTATCACTACCAAATATGACTTCCATAACACAATATATGCAGTCTGCTCTGTGTGCACGAAATGGTGAACTTACCAAGGTTCAGTTATCCCAGCCACAGAGCCACTCGATGGAAGTATTGAATGAGGAGCTGTAACAGGGACTCCCCCAAGAAGTTGCTGCTTCATTGTCGCAGCTGCAGATATCTGGCCAGTACCACCAAAATGAGTCTTGTAGGAGGGATTGCTCATGTTAAACGGAAGCATCTTAACATCATGGGGAAGATGCATTGCATGCACATTCTGTTGCAAATTATAATGTGTCAAGATAAAACAAGTTCCTTGTTACCCGTGGCAACTTATTTTTTCTTCCCAAATGGATTTAAAAGGGGCGCAAAACATTTTGAAAGAAATCCATAGAAACAATAAAAGCAGGAGACTGTTAGACAACTCATTGCAATTGGTTACTAATTCGGAGTATAATTCCACACATGAGTGACACAAAAACTAGAGATAAGCCGAAGCCACTTTTTGGTTAATCTTCTTCCTGTGACTTGAGATAAAACTTCCGTGGAACATTAATGCCAAATAGCTTCACTAAAAACATGGCAAAATTGAGTGTTCTCCTTTGCATGTCATGCAGATCTCATACAAAACTATCCCGTGCAATTAAAGAGATTCTACAAACCTGGATTTCACCAGATTGACGTTTGAGACAACTGTCAACTCCATCTGCGGCGGATTGAGCTTTGAACGGTTTTTCATCTTGAGCAGAGTTCAAAGACATGAAATGAGGTATACCCGCCTTGCTCGACAAGGGCCAGCGAAACCCTGATACAATATAATACATAATACAAACAATTACTACAAAAACTATAACCATCCGGTTCACTTATTACCTCAGAATTGGAAGGAAATCTTTCATTTTGTCCAATTCAATCAAAAAATAATAATTAAGAGTTTCTTACTTAAGATTTAACTGAAAAAACATATTAACTACCAAAAGTAAAATCCAGCAAAAACCTTCTTAGGACATACTCACCTTTTTCACCATGGCAAAATCAATTAATCCAACCATCATTCTCAGACTTTAATCCAACTTCCTTATTTGTTCTTATATCAAAAGGATCTCCTTTTTTATAAGTTTATACTTCAAACTTCTTGCAACAACGACCCAATAAGATCCCACAAGTGGGGGTCTGGGGAGGGTAGTGTGTACGCAGACCTTACCTCTGCCCGAGGTGTAGGGTGGAGAAGCTATTTCCAATAGACCTTCGGCTCAAAATTGCATCTTCTTTTCAAACTTCTCAAAAAATTTACCAAATCAGAAGCTCAGAAGTTAGCTTTTAGCAATTACAAATTCTTTTCTTGGCAGGCTAGACAAAATTTTGACAGGGAAATTGCATCTTTATTGGGAAAGCCAAGTCACTAAGCAACCGCGCAGAAATATAAAGCCCCACAACAAGGGAAACAAGAAAGTTTTAACAACACAAAATACTCAATTTAGGAAGCATAAATACATAGAGCCAAAATAAACATTTTTCTTTCACCTGTCTACATTAATTTCAACTGGAATCAACACTCATGCATTAAAGAACCTAACAAATTAAATAATACTACTAAAGTTCCCAATGGTATACATACTCACAACGAAGAAATAATATGAGAGTAATTCACAATTGAAAAAAAAAACGAACCAGAGTCTTTGCAGGTTTCAACAGGTTCTTCCTTGACCACAACAACAGAATCTTTAGAATTTAGTCCCATGAAATCTCTCTCCATCTCTGAGAATTTCAAGAAATACCTAAAATTTAAAATTCCAATAGTTTTAACCTCACAAAGAAGCAGATCAAAACCACAAAAGCTCAAAACACCAAACCGCAGAAGCCCAAAGAAAAAGGTAAGTGAGAAGGAATGAAAGAGAAATGGCACTGTTTATTTATTATTTAAAGCCTAAATGCTTCTAACTGCAGCAAGTAGAGAAGTTGATGGCTTTTTCTCTTTCTTTCTTTTCATTATTATTTAAATATATTTATATTTATATTTATATGCTTTACTTATTTTTTAGTGGCTTAATCAACGTTTTTCCTTTTGGTTTTAGGGTGCGTATGCACTTCGTTTTCTATATTTATTTTTTTGTTTTTGGATTTCAATTAGAAGCACCGATAAATTATACAAAAAATCATATGATACGAGTAAAATTTAATATGTAATAATAAGTTAATAATTATTTTTATTAACTATTAATTAATACTTATTTAAATTTATTTTTAATTTTTAATAAGTGATCTGATTGTGTAAAAGTATTTTTTATATCACCCATATATATAATTTAAATTCTTTTTAATTACGCCAATTGGTCGTCATATGATGAGAAAGAGAAAACAAAAAATAATTCTAAACTTGAGATGACGGTAGTACCCCCTACTTAATTACAGTCATGAGTCACGTGTTCTTTTAGCCTTCCTATATCTATATATATATATATACATATATATATATAATGAATTTGAATTAAAAGATAATTTGGAATATATAGATACAGTTCAATAATTCAAATTTAAATTAAAAATAAATTTTATCTTTTTTATCATGTTATCATACTTAATTCGGTTAATGATCATATGCAATCATGTTAGGAACTTTTGTTATTTTTTCTAATTATTTAAATACTACTTCGCCTCTAGTAAAAAAAAAAAAGAACTACTCCATATAACTATAAAACTCTTTCACATTTAAAATTCTACAAGTAGAGTTCTTTGAAACAGTGCAGTTAGATTTGAATAAAATGAAATTCTTTTAAAACAAATATAATATATAGGTTACACGTCTATGTTTATCTAAATAACAAAAAAAGAATTTATAAAACCAAATAAAAGTTTACTCACATATATAATAAAGTAAACATACATGCTGGAGAAAGAAACATCACAAAATCAATCAATATTAAAAATAAAAAATAAAAGTTGTTTCTTTTTTCTTCTTGAAGAATATTTGTTTGAAGAGTCACTTTGCATAAATGGACATCAAACAAATAACAAAACTTTGGTTATACGATTGATATCATTAATTTCAATTTAGCACATTCAAGGAATTGAAGGCTATAAGCCGAAACCCCTTCATTTAGATGTAGTCGAGCCAATATTGTAAGGGTATAATATTTTTTCGTTGAAGAATATTAGTTTTGAATAATTAGATTATGCGAAAGGTTTTTTTTTCAAACTCAACGAGAGATAAATTGGTTTATAATTGATAGTTTCTATAGCGACTTTTAAGTGTAACAAAGAGTATATATAAAGAAAAAATTGGTATGACGTGAAATATTTTTTTTAAATGTAAACAAATTATTTCGAAAAAACTCTTTACTTTTTTTAATTCAAAGATAATAAAAAGATAAGATATTTTTGAACATTAGTAGAGAATATTAACATGATTATAATAGAAGTTATATAATGGATAAACTCAAAAAACCGAAATTTAAGTTATTATTTCACTTTGTGGCTATTTTTAGGTTCCAATGACACTTATGAGAATAGTGCAAAAATAAATTATCACTACGAGAATTGAGAAAATGTTAGTCTTTTTTCAATGTAGTGTTTCTTAATTAATATCTGACGATTATCTATAATTATTTAGAAGGTTTAAATGTTAAGGTTATTTACATATAATTCAAATAACTCAGATATTTAACATGGTTAATATCAAATATCAAAATGGAGTAAAAAATTCACTAGCTAAAGAATTTTTTATATTTTTAGATAGCCAACTAAAATGAGTTTTGAATTAAGAATAATATTTTCAATTACATTATTATAAAATAATTATTATTGATAAATAATGTTTTAGAAACTGAAATTTTAAGAAAGAAATATATTTTAAGAGATATCAACACACCAAATAAGAGTTCAAGTAGTAGTAAAAGAGTTAAGTCTTATCCAAAGAGTCATTCATTGTCTCAACATTTGATTATTTTGCTATAAATATGAGTTATTATTTTACTTCCTTACTACTTTTAGGATCCAATGACACCGGCAAGAATGGTATCAAAAAGGAAAAATAGAAGAAATGGTTAATTTTTTCCATGTAGTTAATATCCAATGATTATCTATCTTTACTGAAAAAATATAAATTTTAAGATTATTTACATACAATCCAAATAATTTAAATATTTGACATAATTAATATCCGCGCATCAACACGGGTACTAATACTAATATGTTTAAAAGATTAACTGCCAGTAGAATTCCCCTTTTCATCTAATTGGGTGTCGAAAGTCTCGTAATCTTCCATTTCTCAGGAAATAAAAATAATAATTTTGTTTATTTATGTATTTGAAAATTGTACACATTATGTTGCAGACATTGAAAAGTGTCGATGAGGCACAAATTCATAAGACTTCAACTCTCCTCCTTCGTCTAAGTTCATGTTTACCCGTAAAACAGTACAGTAAAATTTGTACATGGTTTCGAGATAAGTGAACTAATTTGATTCAAAAATGATAAAACAATTGAAGAATAATACAATACTTAGCATCAAAATATAGATAAAATAGCAAGAACAACGATTCCGAGAACAAGATTCCGATCACAATAATGATGAGATCAAAAAGCAAAAAGTAAATAATATTAAGTTTTGTATAGAATGTAGTATAAGTTTGCCAGAAAATTCGTGTCCTTTACAATGATAACTGAGCTCTCTATTTATAGCTATGTCTAGGGAAGGATGTCCTAGGATCGAGCCCTCCTTTAATGTGAATTATGAGGGTCATTGATAAAGATATAACGGTAAAAATAAATGTTAAATTCCTTGTAACGGGTTACCGTTCTTAATGTTGTAAAATATTCTCTATTAAATGCTACCAGATGCAAAGTATTTAATACACTTTTATGAACATTCTCTCCCGGTGACAAGTGGAATAATTACGTTCGGTGACCATCTCCGCCTTAGGTTCCACGTGTTTTTTCTTTAGATGATCACATGTCATATCATATTTTTTCCTATACATATAGTCCCCCTGCTTTTCGATTACTCAATCTTGTGTTACCGGAAAGTTGGTCGAAATACTCCTTTTGCGGGAATTACTATAATTCTCTTTGCAAGCTTCTGACAGTTGATTAGACGCATGTCTCTCCGCATTTAATGACCCCAACAACATCATACCACGATTCAGCACAGCCTTTGCCGATTATCAAGGTAATCATGGCCATGAATTTAGCCGCCAAAACTTTACTTATATGCATCACTCATCTCTTATGTACTTCATAAGTTCCTAAACTTCTAACTTGCATCTTTTGTTTTCCATCTTTTCCCTAATTCTCTTCGAACCGAAACCCTTCTCTTTCTTCTTATTCAATGGCTTCTTCTTCTAAACGTGCTGGCTTTTCAAAGAAAAAGAACAAGGCTGAGGACTCTGCTCCTCCAACGGTAGGTTCCATCATCCCCCGAAGTCTTAACACCACAAAAAACGTCGAAGAGAAATTTCCTACTTCTAACCCTTGTTCATGTGATGTTAGTAGGTATCCTTCTTCTATTCGTACTTCCAATATTACTATTGTGAAGGAAGATTGTCGCTGCCATGACTTAGATATTGTTACTCCTGATCTATCGGAGCGAGTGACCCTTCCCAGAGAAGTTTTACATATTTTTACACGTATCCCTTTACTTTGGATGCATTTTTTTGAGCTGAGAGCTTGATTCTGTGATTGCGGAGTTTTTCCTTCACTACCAAGTATGCTCGGCACAGGTGAGCCCTTCATTTGAAATTATTCTTCTTCTTGTGCAATATGAAGAAGCGATGAAATTTTTCCGATGATCGAGAAATGAACCTGCTCAACGCTGCTAATCTCCCTGTGAGCCTCTGGACTTCTTTTACAGTTGACAATTGATTTGGGATATCCTCTATGGCCTTGATTTTGTCGAGATTTACCTCAATTCCCCTTTGTGAGACCAGAAATCCCAAGAACTTACTAGAGCTGACCCTGAATGCGCTCTTCTCGGGGTTAGGTTTCATGTTATGCTCTCTTAGGATGCGGAATGTTTCTTGCAAGTGCTTAAGGTGGTCACCTACATTCAAAGACTTAACGAGCATATCATTTATATATACTTTCATAGTCTTTCCTATTTGCTTCTCGAACATCTTATTCACGAGCCGTTGATAAATGGCTCTGGCGCTTTTTAACCCGAAGGACATCACATTGTGACAATATATACCGAAATTATTTATAAACGATGTCTTTTCCTTATCTTCTACGTTTATCTTGATTTGATTTAACTCAAAATAATCATCGAGGAAACCCATCAACTCGTGCCCGGCCATGGCATCAATCATTTGATCGATATTAGGCCGTGGGAATGAGTCTTTAGGGCACGCCTTATTAAGATCCTCATAATCGATGCATATGCGGAACTTATTATTTTTCTTAGGAACTACTACTACATTAACTAGCCAGTCCGGGTATCTTACCTCTTGGATTGAACTATTATGAGTAAGCGGGTTACCTCTTCTTTGACAAATTTATTCCTTGCTTCAGCAATAGAGCGCTTCTTTTGTCTTACCAGAGGTATGTTGGGATCCAAGCTTAACTTGTGCACGTGTCACGACCCAATTCCTCTATAGGTCGTAATGGCGCCCAACGTTACTGTTAGACAAGCCAACATTGAACTAACCACATGATTGTTTCTTTTAAAAATTTAGAAATAGCTGATTTTTAATTAGTTCCTAAATAAGAAGTGAAAATTTAAAAAAATGAGAGATAAATAATTTTAAGAGCAAATGAGATAAGTAAATAACAAAAAATCATCATATGTCTACTAGCATAATCTCCAAGACCTGGTGTCACAAGTGTATGAGCTACTAGTAGAATATATAAAAATTAACTATACTATACTACTGTTTGAAGTGAAATAGATAGAAAATGAAAGCAAAATAAGACTTTGGGTGCTGCAGAATGGGCTCAGAAGGCAGCTCACC